ATTTGAGGACCATGTTTATTTGGTTCTATGAGCATGGGTTTAAGATTGATTTTCCCAAGTTGAGGGCGATTCATCCCGGTTTGAAGGATTTGGGAAGGTGGATCGAGGAGGAGAGCGAGTTTGCCAAGAGCAAGTAAGTATCATATGGTCGGACGTCGCCTCTGTTAATAAGTGATGTCGGAGGTGTATATACTGGGTGCTTTGTACGTATTGATTGGTGTTTTGCGTGAACAAATTGCATGTCTTGGCTACACCGCGGCTCAAGCAGGTCAATTATTCAATTATATTAGGAATCTGAAGGACTCTCTACATCAATAGTCTTTGCGTGAAATATGCCAAGGTATATAAAGACGAATGTCAAAGCTCTAAAACACAGGGAGGGAGGGAAGGAGAATGCAGGGACAAGAACGGAGAAAACAACTATAACAAGCCCAACATATTAATCGCAGATGTATGCTTCGACTTCCGCATATCCCCATCTATCCCCATCAAACGATAGACTGCCGTCTGCGCCCCACGCACGGTGTACTCCATCCCAACAACCGCCTCGTCAGGAATCTCCACGAACTGCCCGATCAGCGCCATATTGGTCACGCCCTCAGGAACGACACACGGCCGGTCTTCGATGCCCCGCGGGAGCAGCGGAGCCACCATGCGCGGTACCACACACGGCGTCGTGACCGAGTTGTCCAGGATGTCCTCGAGCGGGAACTGCAGTTGGTGCAGAATCTCCGTCATGACCTCGCGGCCTGTGCAGTCGAGCATCGGCTTCTTCACCGCGTTTCCCTGCTCCTCCGGGTGCAGAGCATACCCCCAGAGGATAGCGACGTCGTCGGGCTGATTGGGAATAACTGGCTGGTGGGGATTGTTGATGCTGAGGAGCCAGTTGCTGTCGCGGAGGGTCACCAAGGGTCCCATGCCAGGTTTGTCGCCCGTGAGCTCGACGAAGCGGGTGATGAAGTCACGACCGGGGCCCCGAAGCGTGATGGTGAATGACCCCTGGCGGGACTCGTCTGTCCGCGTACAGAAATTGTATGCGTTACCGAAGATGGGGTTCTTGGTTGATAGTTCGAGCCACAAGAGCCAATTCTCGTTCAGGATCTTTTCCATCTCCACTCGGTCAAGTGATGGCACGCTGTCGTTCGTCCCCGACGCCCGGCCCGATAACGTGGATCCCACAGCGACGATCACGATGTCGTTGGATCCGACCTCAATTGTTGTTTCCGGTCCACCATTCTTGGTCGCGCGGATGGCCGCAACACGACTGTTGATATGCGGCGGCTCGAAGATGATGTCATTGACGATTGTGCCGAAGCGGAAGTCGACACCCCGCGACTTCAGGAACTGGCCGATTGGCTCAATAATCGCATGATGCCGATTGTATGGAAGATGGTCAAGTGGCTGTCGATCGTTGATCTCGTGTACGTCGGGCATGAATCGCCGTAGACAGCGGCGGAACTCAATAGCGCTATGCCAGGGCTCGAAGCCGAAACTAGTCACCATCAAAACCGATCAGTATGTATCGATAACCAAGACGCACAACTGTCTGGACTGCAATGCACTTACGTTGTGGAAAGGGTAAGCCAGTAGTTACTATGAAAAAAGCTCCCATGGAAGTAGTCGTGGATGCGCGATCGCCCCAGATTCTTTTCCGTCTTCGATGCCAACACGAACAGATCCATGCGGTCGCGCAAGCCCAAACCGACTCGCCTCGGATCAACGCGTGCGAGTCCAGATGATTGGCGCGTCAGTAGTCGTGTATGCGTGCGTCTGGGTAGTGGGTTGGCCTCGTTGAAGTCGTGGATGGTGTCGAGGACAGTCCTGAGCGGATCCGTCGGCGACGGCACCAACGACAGCAAGCGTTCTATACACACGTCGTTGAAGAGCGGCATGGCGCCCGCGCGCAAGTCGTACCCTCCATCTGGAGTTTCGGCGATGACGGTGCCTTCGCCGACGGCCCCCACTGTCTCGATTATATGCACTCGCTCTGGGGGCACATGGGCCTCCTGGATGAGGTGCACCGCGGTGGTCAGAGAGGGAATCCCGCTGCCGAGGATCCAGGCGTCCAGGTCATTGGCCCGGCGCTTTTTAGGCACAGGCGTGGGCGAGGGCGAACCCAAGCCCGGAGCGCGGAGTGTTTCTCTCATCTAGTACGGTTCTCGTTGCTGGTGCTGTAAGGTTGTGAATGTCGGGATATATTCATGACGGATAGGAAATGTTTCGTGCATATCTCCATCGGGACCATGCTCATCCCTCTCCCAGGAAGACCCCGGAGGTTGCAGTTCCCTTCAAACTTCCTGGGCGGGGTCGAGTTTGGGAGGGATGACGTTTTCAGATGCCAACTATCAACAGTGGTGCCGAATCACGGCGGAATGCAACCTCGAATGGGCTCGCGCGAACCCCACCTTGACGCAACGACTTTTGAACTAGGGTCACTTTAACTATAGGCGACGAATGTGGTAATTTGGGATGCTATTATATAGTGCTTTCATCATGGGATGACTATCGGGTCAGGGGTGTATTGTTGATGGAGACATATGCCACTAGATATTCATACCATTGGGATCTTGGGTTGCGGTGCGGAGAAAACTCATTTATAGATGGAGCTTCTCGCCCACACATACACCGCACATTGTGTGGCTATACTGCAAACGGACACTGCCCCATCCGGGTTTTCTCAAGCGTTTCCTTGATTTCCTGTGTCGTCTTCCGCCCCTTGCCCTGGAAGTACTTCGGCCCAAGGTCCACGGTGTCGTAACCTTGGGGATAGTATTTGTCGCCCTCGTCCCCGGGAACTGGTACACCTAGTGCTCGGCTGATCCATGCGCCAGGGCCCCAGCGATTCCAAAGTGTTGGCTTGACATAGTAGGGTGGGCCTTCCCATATGCGCACGTGGTGTCGGCCGTGTTCATTCGGCTTGTCGCTGAAGACATCCTGGCGGAGGAAGTAAGGCCTCGGGAGGGACAAATGTCGGAGGTAGAATTTGCGGATGGCCAGGATAGATGAGAAGATGATCTGGTATGTTCGTGGTGCTGGGTCGTACCTGCCGTTCTTATTAGACTTCACCTTATACCTCGCCCAGTATCATCGACCAACAGATGATAAATAGGAAAGAGAAACGAGAGACGAATGGAAGTGAGAAACAAAGAAACTCACATCATAGCCTTTCGCAGTCTTTCATCCATCATGCAAGAGGCAAATTTAACTCCCATGGGTTGCACAAATTTCGGCATCCCATACACAAGTACATCCATCGTCTTGTCAGCAACAGCCCGATTTGTCTCATCAGGCTTCATACACCTTTCCTCATATTCATGACTCCACACGGTGATCTCCTCCAAAAATTGTAATCCATCCCGGAACCCCGTCTTTCCGGACGGCAGCGCCTCGTAACTGATTCCCAACGCATCCCCCAGACTCTTCCAATACGTCCCGATCGCGCAGCGCTCCAGCTCAGTCATAGACCGCCACTCGAACATCTCCACAAAACGTACAGGCTCAATGGCAAACAGACTCAGCGTGTACAGCATGTCGTCCTCGAGAATTTTGCCGCTGGCGCGGTAGCCAGTGTGCAGAAACTTGGTGCGGGCGATGGAGGTGCGCGCGCGATCGGAGGACGGCTCGAAGGCCATAAACTGGCCGATCAGGGCGCCCGTGTCGGCATAGCGCTTGAAGGATGTTGCGGGGTTGGAGAATTGGGAGGTTTTGAGGAGGAGAGAGGAGATGGTGGGGATTCCGTATGTCTATAAATCCTCCTGTCAGTAGAGAACAGAAGATGTGTAGTACGCATGAAAGTCGGAGAGGTGAATGGGAAATTTCATACCCGGAACAATGCAAACTGCAACGCTTTCAGTGCGCTGAAAGGAAACTCCAGCTGCAGGATGCGTTTCTGGATCTCCCAAGCGTCATGGTCCGTCATATAAGCCATCGACTCCCGCGTTGAGTAACATTTATACTTTTTTTTAAGGCTGCGCACCCGCTGAAAACGCAGTGCCTTCACCATCGTCAGATAGGTCGCCAGCAAGGCCCCCACTGCGGTGAACCGTCGCGTGGGGTTCTCCCATAGGGCTGTGAAGACAGCCCGGATGGGCAGACCCTTGAGCGACGAGATGGCATTCGCAACCTGCTTGTCCATTTTTACTCGGAGACAGTACTGTTGTATCGAGTCTATAGTTCAGCTCTGGCTTCTGAGCAATATTGCGTCACTATCATCATCCCGTACGAGTGCTTTTATATCGGTCCACCGGCTGTCCTCGCACACACCCTTTGGGCCATCAACCGGAGACCCGAGATACGACGGCCCTGCTCGCTGTCGGATTCGGTGCCAACCTCATCATCCCACTGGATGATAGCACTCTAGCAGGCAGGCACACAATTCGAGATCCAACATGAGGTATTGAGGTGGATCTGGACTGTCATGTGCAGTGATCATCGCGGTTCGGCGGACCGAGGAAGGCGGGGAGCGGGGTGGCCCTATTACGCGCCCACCCCATCTTTCCTTCTTCTGAGGAATCATATCAGGAAATCCAGTGCAAACACTGTGAGCCTGTTGATTTCCAATGCCTAGGACAAAATGGAGTAGCCGAGGGTGGTGCGGGGTGACAAGACTGCGGTGCAGAAAGGATGGGGATGAGGCACCGGAGAGTAAGGAAGCCGAAGTCGTACGAGATGTAGATCGCGGATCGAAGGCAATCCTTGAGGGGTCCAACATCCTAGTTAGATGGCTAGATCATTGGTGTTGAGTGTCAGACGCAATAGGCTATGATCACATCGTGGTGGGGCAAGATAGCGCGAGCTTGTCTCCAATGACATCCATGCCGATGGTCATTGTGCTCTGGTCAGAATCATTATGGCGTACTCCGTAGAGTTATGATCAAAGGATAAATCGGACTAAATCAACATATCTAATCAGTAGGAGAAGGAGATCCCAGAGATAACGGATGGTTGACTGATAAGAAGTGGGGACACTCGAAAAAAAAAAAATGAGGAGAAAAAATGAAAGCCCCCGCGGGGGCTCGAACCCCGAGCCTCAAGATTAGAAGTCTTGCGCGCTACCGATTGCGCCACGGGGGCTCTTGTTGTGATATCGATGCCGAGTGTGCGAGTGTTGAAGAGCAAGTGCTAGTCTAACACAGCAGGGATGCCTAGCACCACCCCTTTTTTATTAGTGAAATGGCCACACTAACAAGTGGACTATTTGGGTGATTCCACATGAAGCTACTCTGTTTGAAAAATGGAATCACTAGTCTTTCTCTAGTTGCCATAGAATGCTCTCATATCAAGCCTAGAAGTTATGGTTGAAGAAGAACTGGTTTTATAAGAAGTTGTCTGTCCTTGGTATATATTGCGGGATAGTGGCCATACCTACTGCTTGCATATAGTCAGTCAAACCACTATAACCATTATACTCATATTTTGATCAAATTTCAATCATTCCAACATAATCAACATCAACATAAGAGAATCATCACGAGCAGCGCCAATCAAGCATCAATCTACTCGAAGAACGGAAGGGTTCTAAACGAGACGTTTCGCCTCGTTGGACCTCCGCTGCCTACGACGGCGAACACAGCGGCCATTTGAACCACCTGAACCGTTGAAGACACCCGAAGTCACATCCTGGGGAATCGATCCTATCGCAATATCATCAAACCAAACAGTCCTCGTACCCTGTGACCCCTTCATCCCCTTATCATCATGCCACCCACTCGCGTACAGGCCAACGCGGAACTGAAACGCCGACTCCTCATCAACAGTCGTAGGGAGATTCTGCGCATCCACCACCTTCCTGCCATCATAATATACCACATAGGACCCAGTATCATCATTGCGCCAGTCCGCCTGCAGGATAATCTGGTGCCACTCGCCAGCAGTCACCTCAGGCAAGTCATCAAATGATTTGAGGTCCTGGTCGCATGCGCTCCCGCTCTTGATACGCGTGTAAAGTTTGCTTCCCTTTAGGCCGACCATCGTCGTCGGCATGTAGTCGTCACAGCCCGAGGAGCTAAAGTCCGCGATGAACTGCGCCAAGTTGTAAGATTGATCGTCGGAGAACTCCCACGACTCGTCGAGTCGGAAGCGGAAGCCGTATGCGCCCGAGTCGCCCCGCTTGTAGACGTTTTCTTTGAATACCTCTGAGTGGTACCGCCCGTCGTAGTCCGCGTCAAAGACCTGCGTCATCTTGAGAGAGCTCGGCTTGCTGTAGAAGATTTTGGTGTCGACTTCGACGGAGCCCTTGTTTTCTTCGTTTTCGCCGTCCCAACCTTTGTTGGTGCCTAGGTTTTTGAAGGCTACGCCGGCTTGTGCCGGGCGGGCGAGAAGGAGGAGGCCTGCTATGCATGCGGGAAGGAGGGTCTGTGGGAGGTGCATGGTGACTGTTGTGAGGTCGTGCTCTAGACTCTTTTCAACTCGCTTGGTTGGCTCTAAGATTGGAGGCGTGCCTCGGGGGGGGGGAGGGGGAGGGTGATTTTTCTATATTTCCCGACTGTTGAAGAAATTCTCCCTCGTTATCTGCCACTCTACGGGAATTCAGACCTTTTTGTTGTAACCTCGTGGCTGGAAGGATTTTGGTGCTGCCATTCGGGCCCCAGATGCTAGCAGAAGGATTCGACGGTCTGCTCCACCCGATTGATACGCGCCTTGAATCAGGAAAATATGCTACTTGGCGTGTTTTGCGGCACCGAGAGGGTGTCAAATTTCCATGATGCTGTAGCCTGCACAATCGTAGAAGCAAAAAGCAAGTAGCTGTCAGGCGGTTTAAACTAGCGTTATCAGCCATGATGTATTTTGGACAGTGCCTTTTCGTAGCATCCGCTTGGCCTGGTAATCACGTCCCGGTGCCAAGCTGGGAATCCAAGGGCCTCAAGTCAGATTGAAAGTGTAAGGTATCACCTAGGCAACATCATGACTCCGTAGACTACAGCATGAAGCTTTCTGGGAGACGCGATATGTCCACCACCAATGATCAAACAATCAGAATGAACCACTCAGTCTATTATGGATTTACCCCGCGTACTCAAGTCACTCCTAGTTCTCATCGCGATTTGCTGATCCCCCTTACGAGACATAATGACACAGCCATGTACGCCTGTGGGTCGTGGCAAAGAATCCTTCCGCCCCATTCGATCCACGACCTACCGACCAAAGCGGTAGTAGTGAAAGGCGATGGCTCGCGACGTCGTCTCCGCAGGACCTTCGGTGCCTACGGGCCGCAAAGTAAGTTCCGATCAGAGCAACCATCTAGGCACGTGGTGCGTCGTTTGGATCCTGCGTGATCCTCGAATATCTATCAGCGTCTCCCATGTCTCATGTGTAGTTTTGGCTACAACATTGCATCCCCTGTTGAAAGGATCTTCCTTGAGCTGGTATACTCTGAGATTTTGCATTCCAGAACTGTAATCCCGTACCATTCACGTCATCGACCCATGCACGTTGAACCAAGTTGCTTCCGGAGCTCGCCAAGTGGATAAGGAGTGTAGATATGGACCCCAAACGCAAAGGGGTGCTCATCTTGGCACACGCGCGCTAGCCAAAAGCGCCGATAATTGGACATGAGATTCTGCAGGAACAAAAAGTGGATTCGAATCCTGGTGATATGTGGCATTTCCACGAACGACACGCCGTTGCAACCGTGTCCTGCGCCGTCGAATGCTGGGGAGGAATTCAGTGGCGAAGAAGGGCAGATCAATGATGTATGCAGTCCTGTTTATCTCGCAGTCACTCATCGAGAAGGATTTGAGTTGAAGCGGGGGCCGGTTTTGAGAAGGATTCAACTTGGCCTGGTTTGGAAGGGAAGTGTGTAATCATTGAATCCGAGACTGGGACGGGGACCAAGATCGGGGGGAAAAGGATGCCGATGCTGCAGCCACGAAATGTTAAGTTGAACGGGTGAAACAAAGGAACAAAGATAACAGGTCGCATTTGAGTTTTGAGAATTGCTCTATCTCAAGAGGGATCGTTAAATCTTTTATACGTTGCAAAGAATACAAGTCCCGTATACCTAAGCTAACATCCATTTCACACCAAGCAGGCCTAGCACTCTTACCCGATCATTGTAATGCTCTCCACTACCGATATAAGACATTCTAATCACCCTGTGCACATGGCTGCTCGCCCAGGAAGAATTTACACCCACCCATACAGCACCTCACCAGAGACTCCCAGTACGACCAAACATGATAGTCACCGCCAACAGGGCAAACCAACCCCTCGGCTTTTGTTTCTGCAGGCTCCCACCAGAAATTAGACCAGGATCAGTACTTCTAGCCTGCCCAAAATCGCCCAAGTTATCACCCGACACCGATCCCTGGATGCCACCCTGCACTCTCTCGGCAGTACTAGCAGAAGCCCCAAGCCGCGAGCTTCCCGGACTAGTCTGCGCATAATCGTAGCCAGTAAAATCCGTCGACCCAGCAGGAACGGGTACCGTCACGCGTGAAGCAGGATCAATCAAGTACAAGCCGTGAGACGCGCGCGCCCGTCAGGCATTCGTTCCCAGGGATCCGAGCAAGAGGCCACTGGCTCTGCATGCACGGTCTCTGGAGCAGGGAGGTAGCCAAGCGTTACGGGCGGCGGAAGCGGGATGAACGTGAACCGGGGCTGTGTCTGGGATTTGTTGTTTGGTTTCTTGTGAAGGATTCCTTGGAGGGAGGTGTTTTCCTTGAGAGACGGAGCGTCGCAGAGGATTGTCTCTGGTACCGCTATATTCGTGCGGTGGGAGAGGGCGAAGCCTGTTCCGTTGACTGCACAGACGGCGTCCCCGGCGGTGGGGCTGGATTCGTAACCTTGATATTGGATATCTCTGGTTAGTATGGGGTTGGTTGAACTTATCAAGGATACGGGAGTGGGCTTGATGTCTGTTCTAGATATGTATGTATGCCGCATTCGATAAGAGCAAGGGATGCTTACAAACCGCCAATTCAGCAAGCTCCCTTGGAACGACACCAGACAGCCTATATATGCTCATTAGGCCCAAGAAATATAGTTGAGACACCGCGCGGAAAGGAGCCACATACTCTATACTGCAAGATCGGATTTCCGCAGTCGTGGGTCCCACACAGGATATGGTTGTTGATCCGGCTAGTGAACCATGAACGCAGTAGACCCCACCAGGCTTAGAGCACAGAAGGGTGTTACTGTTCTCATCACTGAGGGATTGAGTTAGTCCATTGGTCGTTTTGTTAATACAAAGTAGATCCTTACTATCCGATCTGCGAGTACACGGGGATGGCGAAGGCCAGAAGTGACAGGAGCTTGACGAAGAACGTGCTTGGAGTCATTGTGACTGCTTTGGAGGTGTATTGCTCTCAGAGGTACTGTGTCACGGAATATGTAAGAGTAGAAGTTGTTATTGCTGTCGCGTTTGCGGGTTGTGTTTATGAGCAAGCAACTGGTGATTGTGAATGTGGGCGTGACGTGACGCGGATTCGACACATTCTGAGCAGATTAGGGTTATATTGTCTTCGATGAGCCTTCTTCTTTGGTCCAATGCATTGAGAAGGTATTGCCTCCATAGCATGCTGACGTGCTCGAATGTGAAGGTGTCCCAGAGTGTGTACCCAGATACATGGTACCGTCTTCTCTAGTCCAGTTTCAGAATATAGGGCACTAGACTAGACAACCCGGTCCTCAACAAACCATTTCTCACAATATATCAAGTGGTGACTTTGCACAATACAAACCCTACAGCTTAGCGCCAATGCTATATACTGCATGCATCTTGTCAGACAGCTAGAGAAGTACAGCTAGAAGCATGGAACATCAACTGAGTCCTAAGTTACAACACGAATCTTATCACCAATGAAAGCTCCATGAAAGAATATCTATGTATGTACGCTAGAAAAATGCTAATAAGAAAGCGGAGATCAGAAATTAAACCGCAGCCTATTTCCCAAACACCTTGAAGCGGTCCGCGATGGGCGCAAACTCCTTCTCACCGGGCTCACTGGGCCCACCAGCCGGGGCGCCAAACACCAGCTGAGCATCCAGCTTCCACGAAGCAGGGAGGTTCCACTGCTTCTGGACGCCCTCATCAATGAGCGGACTGTAGTGCTGCAAGTTGGCGCCAAAACCTT